GAAATTCACAATGTGTTCCACTAATAAGTATTTGTAGAGTAAAATTAATAAATTTAATAAACATATATAAAAGCAAAAAAGTCAACTTCTACTTATATATTTTAATTTTTAATGCAAACTTAGGTAATAGTTTTCTGAATATATGTATAATTGTGTAAGAATTGTCTGTATAGGAAATAATTATTATACAGTATCTGTCTATGATGCACTGAAAATAACATATTTAGAGCTGGTCTGTTAATAGATGGTGGCAATAGACTAATTAATTACATTCTCAAAGAAAACAAGCCATTATTATGTAATGGATTCTCAAAGATAAGGCAAGAATTCCTCTACTCTTACAGATTATACTATGTTGGAAGAAATTACACCATACAAATTGGTAACCGACATAAGCCCCTAGCACAAAACCTTGCATAGAGTACTCAACAAATTATCGACTGAATGATAAGAAAATATGCTAGTGATTGTACACAGTAATCACAGTAAACTCTCTGGTCTATCAATTGCCATTTCATAACTCTAATTTATAGTAAACGGTGTTCAGAAGGCCAGATGGATGATAGCTCTGAGCCCCATGAATACAACAGTCAGATGAATCATCAAATTATAAATTATGTTTGCTATACTTTTAGTGTTTTATTTTGCTTAGTCACAACTCTCTAAAAGGATAGTAATTCTTAATGACGATAACTCCCAATAAAATCTAGAATATCGGATTAAGTAAAACATATGTAGGATAACAGCATTTACTGTAGCATCTAAGCAACATGTAAACTAATATATAAACTATGCGAAAATTGTGGAAAAAATTATCAGTAAAAACTTTTAGCTTGGGATACACTAGAAGGTGGCAGAATATGAAACAAGGAGTTCACAAAACTCAGACTATTCTGAACACTCAGAATATTTTATTCTAATGATTACAAATAAAAAATATGTGCTTTAAAAAAGTAGAAGATAGTAATAAGTTTTCGTTTTTTGTTTTTTAGTTTTTCTTCCACTACAGATAACTCTGATGAGTTATTTTATTTCTGACACTAAGAAAAATCTAGTCTAAGTGGCTATGGAAATTAAACAGAAAGACCCAATTAGAAAGACAAATGCTCCAAGCCAATCCAAACTGATCCAGTCCAGTCCTGTCTAGTCCTCCATTCAGGGGCCCTGTGGGCAGGGGATGGACCAGCTTTGTGGGAATGCTGCAGTAAACTTGTGCAGCATATGCCTCATGCAGATATATGAACAGAAAATCTATGAGATATAGGCTTTTTTTTTTTTTATATATATATATATATATATATATATATATATATATATATATATATATATATATTTTAAATTTGATTCTATAAAACATAAATCTTTCTCCTCTCAGGAAAAAAACAACAACACATGGGAAAATGGTATCTTCAAGTATAAATATAAGATATAATGTGACATATCAGGAAAGGTAGGGGTTTTGACACTATTTCCTCCTACAAGCGATTGGTGATGTGAGTTAGTATTGCTGATGCACTGTAAGTGGGTCACAAGTGTGCCGCGACATGCTAATGGTTGCAAAATTGAAATCTAAATGTATAGGTGACAAGAGCAACGCAACTTTGTAAACTGGAAAGCAGATGGATGACTTTGCAGGCCTGAAAAAGCTGAGTCCGAAGCTAACAGTAAAGGAAGCTGAGAACCATGCAAATGTACCCTGAAAAATCTTCAAAAGCCTCAAGAATCTCTGGAAGTGGGATTAAGGTGAAGGGACTAAAATAAGAAACACTGGATGAAGATTTGGGCATCTGACCTCTTCCTCCACCTGGGCAGAAGTCAAAGATTTTATTTTCTGGAGAGGATAAAACAGAGGTTCTCTGGCTGTCTGGCTGGAAGGGCACAGACACCATTAAGGACAGTGGTACCATACCAAAGCAGGGGGATTACACCAAAAAGTAAAAAAATAAAAATTTAAAAAAGTGAAAAAAATCTAGATGTGTATTTGAATTCTATTAGAATTTTTAACTCTAATCTTCCTGTGTTTGGTAATTATTTTATGAGGGGCAAGAGATAATTGTGTGCATGTGTATACACATGTAAATATAAAAATATAAAATATATATAAAATAACCTTCCTGTTGAACTATGCTAGTTCCTCTGAGTATAACTTTTATCATCAATGGATTTTTGTGTGTATATTAATTTTTCCTTAGATGACCAGAATTCAAACAATTCTTTAAATTGTACATTTTTTTTAATCTTATGGATTTTCCACTCTTCCATTTACAAATATAATGTTGAAAATTCATTTGGTAATGAGAATGGATTTTGAGTCCATTCACACATTTTCATATCAAGTATTCTTAAATGAAAACAAAATAATGTAAAATACTTCAGTTTCTATTTCAATGTAATTTGTTCTCCTTTTTCATATTTTTACTAACAGAGTAGGCATATATGATTCTTACTTTTATTATAATTATTATTTGGGATTAGGTATTCCTACATAAAGATATCTCATTTCTTGATGTATCTTACTCCATCATTTTATTAACATCTTTTATGTTAACAATTAGCTAAACTCTGATTCTTGATGAAATTCCATAAAGTGATTGTTTTGTCATTTAGAAAGTTTTTTTTCTTAAAAACAAATAATGAAAAATATTTAAATCAATACATTAAAAGATACTTCTAGTCTAAATGCTTCAAAGGATGCATTTTTTAAATTATTTTTATCTCACGAGTAGTCATAGTTTATAAAATTTTGAGAACTTCAAATTAATATTTCATTATTTCCCATACTGCTTATCCTAGGCCAATTTTTAAACCTTTTTTGTTTCAATTTGTTTACAACGTTCTTAAGAATGCAGAGGATCTAAACTTTTCAATGTTTCTAAAGTAACATGAGCCTAATAGCCCATACATATTTCTATTTAAATATTTATTCACACATTCAACATGTCTATTAATTACTATGGGCCATAGTTTGGGACACATCGGTGAACAAAACAGAAAACACTGCCCTCAGAGAGCTTACATTTAAGTGTATTAACAATGAAAAAAATACGTAAATTAAACAACATATTAAGAATTGATGCAGGTTATGGAATAAAAGGAAAAATTAGAACAGGATAATGAGGTTGGGGAATATGGGACTTGGAGGAACAGATTGAAGCTTTTTTGAGATTGATTACAATAATGTGAGATGGAGCTAAAAAGGGTGGACAAGTCTGTACTATTAATAGCTAAAGTTAAATTATCTCACCACATTGCAAATATGCTTATTTTATTAGCTTGCATAAAAACTGTCAGTGCAATGTTTAAAACCAATGGATCAACCAAAATAGAAAACAGACCTCTTTTTAAAAAAATATTAAGACTTACTGAATGCACTAATGAGTCAAGTGGCATAGAAAAACAGAAAATCCAAAAGATTATTAAATAAAAAAACATTTATACTGTGTAGTGGTGGCTGCACAGTCATTAGTAACTACACTTAGATAGCAGTTCTAGATAGAATCCCTAAAGAGGAATCTTAGCTGAATGCTATTTGTTTCATAAAGAAGCACTAAAACAAACTCCTGGTAATGAAATACTCAACTTGGGATACTTCTACTTGAAAAGAAAAAACTGGTACTATGGAATGCACTGCGTAAGTCTTCCTTGATGTTACAGCTGCACCAGCTGAAAGGTGTCAAAGCCTTACAACAAGAGTTCACTCTAAAACCCTAAGTTACATATCTCTCCATTCCATTCACAGATCTACATTCTGTATTAAACGATGCTATTAAAATGGTAAATCTAATAAAACCCAAGCTGCTGGAGTCAGGCCTGGTTTCAGTTTTATAATAAATGTCATTAGAACACAACATCACTGTTAGGTTAAAAATAATGTGTTATGAAAAAACTTTACACATTCAAAGCAGAACGCAACTTTAAAAAATTATGGTTAAAAACAGTTCATTGGTGATGTTTGACAGTGTCACAATCAGAATACTAAAGTAGACTAGTTAATGCTAGTGGAATGTAGGCATTATTTAAGAATACTTGATAAGAAAATGTGTGAAGGGACTCAAAATCCATACTCATTATCAAGAATTTCCAAAATTACATTTGTAAATGGAAGAGTGGAAAATCTGTAAGATTTTAAAAATTTTATGTACAATTAAAATAATTGTTCACATTTTGGTTATCAGAGGGAAAACAGTTTCATTGATTAGAAAATCTTATTCAGGAACTGCATATAGTTACTTCAAGCATAAAATCATAAAATTTCAGTATTTACTGCTGTAATTAAAATATATATTAAATGTTTTCATTTACTTTCATATAGATGCTCTCCGGCCCCCTTCACGTATCCTTGGGTGCCACGTGATTCCACTGTCCATGTGCAACATGGAAAAGGCTTGGGAAACATTAGCATGGCTTACATGGTAGACTGCTTCCCCAAGGTTGGGGAACTTAAAGGGCAGTAAGTCAATAAGTAAAACAGAATACAGAAACATTAGCTCAGGGATACATTTACCTCTAAACTAAACTCTGAGATCTCATGGGATTAGTAAAATCTTTAAAAATACACTATAATACCTCGATCAAAACTCATCATAGATTTCCAAAATGTATATAAAATGTGTTTTCTCTTTATAGAATGTGGTTACAATTTTCACTTAATAAGTTATTTTCTTATACTGTAATTTAACCAAGAAATTCTTTCTGACAAAGCAAAAAATATATATACATTCAGTAGTTCTCTCGTCACATGTAGAATTTTATAATTTACTAAATGACAAGTTTAAAATTTAATAATATATCTAATACCATTAATCTTGCACTCATTAACTATTTGAGAAAATGTCAAATCCATATCTTCAAAGAAAATCAGTGAAAAGCATTCAGGTAGAAAATGAATATAAATTAATACAGAGTCCTCTACAAATAAAATAATAAGGTTTCAATGCATTTAAAGAGCATTTGCCTTAATATTTAAAGCACTCCTTTTAAAACAGACTAAGGAGTCTTACAGAAATATGTAGTCTTGGCAACCAAAGGAAGGCAGAGGTCAGAAGCCTGGAGAACCGCTGAAGAAATCGGAATGTTTTCTCTTTGTTCCCCAACATTATCATGAACAAAGAAGATACAAACCAGTCATGGCCAGCATAACTCCCCTGCAGGCAGACTGAAAAGCACAGTTAAGGAACTTTTACAATATTTTATCTTATAAAATGAAATATAACAACTCCATAAATATTCATTTCCAGGATCTCTATGAGGAAAGATGTATTAATGATGCTTAGTCCTCATTTTGTCTTTAACCATTTCACAAGCTATTGATGTAAAACTAAATTTTAGTAATAAAAATGTTACAGGGTAACTATTTGAATGTAATATTTGCTTAAATGTCTAGTGGAGGCCAATGGCACTAGCAACTAGAGGAAAACCTATCTGCTTTGTAAAAACACACTTTCAAATCATTAACACGACAATACCATCCTTTGTCTAGTTCAGATTATCTGCTAAACTACTAGCATAAAAGTACAAAAAAAAATCCATACATTTTTAGACTCAGTAATGCAGTTTGTATACATTTTTTAAGTCAAATCCTACTTCTGAGAGATAACCAATTCAAATAAAATAATAAATGGGTGTTTTATTCTTATTCTAGGTTTGACAAATCTATTGGGTTGCCAGAAAACTCATGACGCATTTTTGCAATGAAAAACAGAAAAAATATGTCATAACTTTTCCGACAACCCAATAGAATATTCTTTTTCTAGATTAATTAAACCTATTTTTAAAACTTCCTTATATATGTCTGAAAATATATTCTAATATTCTAATAACTTTAATTATTCAGTTTACGATTCAATACGATTGAATTTAATAATTACTACTCAATAAAATGTATATTTAAAATACAGAATAAATACTATAAAGATATATCATAACAAATAAATTGCTAATATAAGTTAAAGTATCATTTTACTACAAAAGTGTTAAGGCACCCCCATCAAATAATTATGAAAAATATATGAGGAATGTCAAAAGGATATGAAGAGAAGATTTTACGGGAGCTTGCTGCTGTTTCAGAAATCTCTCGCAGTGCTTTAAAACCCAGCTAAGATCATTTTCTGCACCATCTTTCAACAGGTTGAGGAACTTGCCATACCTACATTAAACCAATAAAACATACAAAATGGAAAATATCAGGCCCTGTATTACAAATTGATATTTTGAAATCCATCAAAGTATAATCCTCCTAAAATCCCAAGGTTTTACGTTTTCAAATTTCTCCTTTTGTCAAACTATGTTACATAGAGCACTTAGAGAAAACTGAAACTCAATTTAATTACTGATAATTATGGTATTTTTGGATTAGCAGTATTCATCTGGTAAACCCTGGTAACTTTAAAGGAAAAATAAAACAGTAATGAGAGAACAAATTGTAGATACCATAGATCCACAAGTAGAATATAAGCATTTCTTTCCTGAACTTAATCTAAAACATGGGATGGTGGCAGGTTAGATTGACAAAATGTGAAATCTAGAAGCAATTTAAGAGTTCATCTAGGCCAATGATTCTAAATGGGGATGGCACTTCCCCTGGGGGCCACCTGGGAAATTTATGGGGGCTTTTTCATTGGCATAGTAACGGGGGGCACTACTGGTATGTGGTGAGTGAGGGCAAGGAGGTTAGATATGGGACAGTCCTGTACAATAATATCTTGCAAACACCCCGCCTGTTATTTGCATGGATGAAAAAGCTATTCTTAATGATCTGAAACTAATTCTGTTTTATATAAAATCATAAAATGTTCTATTTTTTTATACATACTGAATGCAACTGTGTGTAAATCAGGGAAAGATAGTAGTACTTTTGTTTTGTTTGAAGCCTTACTAAGACTTGTTCACCATTGTGGAAAGTCAAATTGCCAGTGGCAACTCTCTTACAGTATTTGAAGCACCAAAATAAAATCAGTCTCTATTTGTAGCTGCCAGAGTCATGATGACTCTATAGGAGGCCAGCTATGTCTTACACTCTAGTTGTACACAAACATTTCTTCTTTTTTTTTAATTAAAGTTTATTGGGGTGACAATGGTTAGTAAAGTTACATAGGTTTCAAATGTACAATTATGTAATACACCATCTATATATCACATTGTGCATTCGCCAGCCAGAGTCAGTCACAAACATTTCATTATAAATCACTTTCCATTTATTTCTTACCAATATGACATTATATTGAATTTAAAAAAACAAACATGTGACTAGCCTGCTTATATTATCTATGGATACCATTTCAGAATAGAAATAGAATATTTAAAATAAAAAGCATGTATACGCTCACAAAACAAGATCACTGCATTGCATGCCCTATGTGATAAAGGTGGGCGAGCAAGAATCAGGACCACAGTTTTCATTATAATGCTACGAATTTATAAAAGCACTCAGTCTTTTTAACATCTTCCTCATGTTATCTTTCTAAAACTTGATTCTGATTCTTCAGAACGGGATTATCAAGAGCCCCATTTAATGAGCAAGAATGAGGAGGGTGTTGAGGACACCGTCCTAAACTCCCAGTCTGCTGTTTAGCTTGTCCATTTCCTTTGAAAATTACAATTTGGGTACTAAAAATTCAAACTACAATAATTGGTTTATTCATTTAAACTTCTGCATCTATCCTTAAGGTACTTTTGTACACATCACCACAGTTTTATAATTTAATCATATTTTAGAAAATGGCATTATTGTGCTGATTTTCATGATGCTATTTTTGGGAAAAAACCTGTTAGTCATAGAGGTTTAAATACATTGGAATTAGACTCTGAAATAATAATGAACCATAACTGATTTACCTGCAGAGGTAATTTAATCATGCGCCAATGTCCTGAAAATAAAGTTATTACTTTCTGAATGACAAACTACATTTGAAATATACAAAATAGTTGGTTGTTAAATACTATTAAGCACATATCAGGTATACCTGACAGTCATTTTAATGCCAAGCTGCTGCACAGATGAAAGATTTTCATTCTTCACATTTGCATCAGTAGCTAAAAACAATAGAAAACTGGGTTATAAAAATGTATAAAAGTCTGAATAATCACATTTTAATTGAAAATTCATGAAAGCCATATTTTTACATATTTGAATGTGAATTTTTGAAAACACTGATGAATTTGTTCTTTTAAGAGCTCTCAATTATACTGTCAAAGGAATTAACAGGAAACTTTTTACAAATAACTTTTCTCCTATAAAAAGCATTTAAAAGCATACTAAATACAAAACAATTAATCATAGTTTTAAAGCAATCTAGTTTTGCTGGGCTCTCAGAACACAAAGGCTGTGTCTAGAATGTTGTACTTTTGGTAAGCAATGCACATATAAGATTTTGAATGACAAATACGTATATAACTATGGTTGTGTACTTCTTAAAGATTTAAACATGAGTGTCAGGAAGGAATAATCAGTATTCTACTTATAATGTACCACAATGTGACTGGGTTGTCGGAAAAGTCATGACATATGTTTGTGACAGATGGCACTAGTTCGTTTTTGGAAATACTAGAGTCATTCACATCTATGTTATTGCTATGTCATTGGACAGCTGACAGTTCTAGATCCATTCTAAAAAAAAATTGAGCGATTTGGTTGAGTTTTGGAGATTTTACAAGTTGAAGATGGAAGACCAAACTGTGCCATATTTAACTGTTTTACTTCCATAAAGGGAAGAACGCACATCAAGCTTGTAAAAAGTTGCATAAAGTTTACGGTGACAATGCTCTACAAGAACGTCAGTGCCAACGATGGTTCAGGAAATTCCATGCTGGTGATTTTGATCTCAATGATGCTCCTCGGTCAGGGAGGCCCACCGAGGTTGATGATGACAAAATAAAGGCATTGATTGAGTGAAACCCATGTTACACAACAAGAGAGATTGCAGAAACATTGAACATCCATCACTCAAGTGTTCACAATCACCTGAAGAAGCTGGGATACGTACACAAGCTCGATATTTGGGTTCTGCATGAACTCAAAGAAGTTCACTTGACAACGCGTATAAACATCTGCAATATGCTCATTAAACATGAGGAAAACAATCCTTTTTTGAAGCGACTGATAACTGGAGATGAGAAGTGGATTGTTTACAACAATGTGGTGCGCAAACGGTCTTGGTCCCGACATGATTCGCCTCAAATGACATCAAAAGCAGACATTCATCAGAGGAAGGTTATGCTCTCAGTGTGGTGGGATTTTAAAGGTGTTGTGTTTTTCGAGCTCCTACCAATAAACCAAACAATCTAATTCAAATGTGTACTGTCGGCAATTGGACAGTTTGAACAAATCCATCATCCAGAAACGTCCAGAGATTGTTAATTGTAAGAGTTGTGTTCTATAGCGACAATGCGAGGCCACACACAAGTTTGATCACCCGTCAAATTTGGAGCTTGGATGGGATGTGCTGCCACACCCACCATACTCGCCTGACCTTGCACCGTCAGACTTCCACTTGTTTCGCTCTCTTCAAAATTCCTTGCGTGGTATAACGTTCAATTCAGATGAGACTGTAAATCAGCACCTTGTTCATTTTTTTGCAAATAAAGACAGGTCCTTCTATGAATGAGGAATTATGAAGCTCACTGAAAGATGGCAAAAGGTTATTGAACAAAATGGGCAATGTATCATTGATTGATCTTTGTTCTTTATATAAATAAATGACCTTTGAAAAACATAGACAAAATACGTTATGACTTTTTCGACAACCCAATATGAGGGAGGGGTGAACAAGTTTGTTCCTGCAGATGAATTTTCTCTGTGAGGTAAGAATTGTGATTATCTACCAAAGAGAAGAAGCGATTATAAGGTACAAAGGACTATGGGAGAGGCTGAAACTCTGATTAGTCCTTGAGAATATTGGACCAAGCACACAATAACATCCAAAAGTATCACTAGAAAGCACTGAAGTTCTAGTTGAAACTTTCAATTTGGGGCTGAAGAAATAGTACCGTGCACAACACACATGATATTAAAGGAATTGCCCCAAATCACATAGTTATCTAGTGACTGAGAAGACGAAAAGCTAGGTTTTCTGAATCCCATATCACAAGTTATCTTTCCCTCCCATTACACATTGGTACATCTTATACTATCAACATAAGCAACTTAACTCACGGAGTCATTCATTCCTTTTAATAAACCTTTCTGATTAAGTGTGGTGTACCATGCCAGGAGCTACGCGGGATAAAAGATAAATCATGTCCTTAAAGAACTTTGCATGTCGTGTCAGAGATAAAACTTGTATATAGATAGCTCTGATGTTTTAATGTGCTAACAGAAATAGGAATCGTACAGATAAAATATTATGTGAATTCAGAAGTGAGAGAGATTAGGAAAGTGTGGGATTTAAACTGAACCTTAAAATATGGTTAGACTTGAGATAGAGAAGAACAAATTAAACATCACTGTTATCAAACATCTACTCTTTGGACCAGCAATAATTCATCTTTTAGCACTCTTGGAGTTAAGGTAACCTATTTCTAGTCTGCCTAGGATGATTTTCATAGTTTTAGCACAGAAAGTTTCATGCCTCAGAAATCCCCCACAGTCCCAGGCAAAGCAGACTGCTTGGTCACCTGCCTAGAGTGGTAACTTCCTTAAAGAATGACAGAGAGAGAGAGAGAGAGAGAGAGAGAGAGAGAGAGAGAGAGAGAGAGAGAGAGAGAGAGAGAGAGAGAGGGAGAGAAAGGGAATGGGAAATTGTGCTTTACATATCAAATGAGTAGCAATGTTCAGATGGAAATAGATATGGGCTTAAAAATACTTTTGGTATACTGAAATGAAGTTACAAATGGATGATATAACATTACTTCCTGGGGTCACTATGAAAAGCATAACAAAATAAGTTGTTGAAAAAAAGTCAACCAATGACACTTGTAGGATCCTATTCCCCTACTTACTTAACAATACCTAATTCAGCCTTAGCATTAATATTAAACCAACTATTTGGAAACACCAAGCATTTTAATTATAAATATAATAGTCTTAAAATGAGTTGAAAAAAATTACTTAATATTGACTGAAATCACTCACTCTGGTGACGCATTCTGTTCTATTTTGGTTTGCAAAGCTAGCACATAGAGCAACAGCAGAAGAAATTAAATCTATTCTGCCTGCTGCTTGGAATAGCGATGTGGAAAAAAATAAATTTTCAGAAGAGTAAACAATGTCTCCCGTGGAGGACAAATCCATACCTGGAGAAGCAGTTATTGCTTGGCTGTTCACTGACTGTCCTGAAGCCCTGCTTGTATGTGTTGCAAAGTCAGAACACTCTCCATCACCCTAAGAAATCAATGGACCAGTACACTTTCTCCTACCTTCTTCCTTCCCCAAAGTCAGTCTGCAGGTTCTGTTGCTTCCTTTTTAACATGCAGTTGTATTTATCCACTTTATTCAGTTCTTACTGACACAAAATTCAATTCCTTGTGACCAAGCTACTGTACGAGTCTCAGTCTCAATTGGCAGAGTTATTTGGGGGAAAAGCATTTCTCTTTCCACGTCTTTATTTACATAATTACCCTTGCCTATAGGAGCCTTCCCCACTCCTATTTCTTTCATCTGTAATAGCCCAGGCGACAGTGCTAGTGCTACTCCTCCTGTGTACTACTGCTTTCTCTTCTAATCTTCCATCATGGCACTACTCAGCAACGATCACTCTTTCCACTAGACACCTGTGGCACTCCTGACAAAACCCCTCTTTTGATAATAACCCAATTCAAATAGCATACTTAAAGACTCTAGCATATTACCTGAAACAAAGTAGCCAGCTGAAAAAATGTCAGTTTCCCCTCATTTCTTTATTTTCTATTTTACTATATGCTACAATTTACTTAATTCATCATCTTAGGCATATGCGTAATTCCTGTCCTTGGGGAGAGGGTCATTCATATACTATACCTACTTTCAATTATGGAGCATATTCACAAACATACTCCATTAATGTAAGACAGAAAAGACCGTATTTGCTGAATACCCAAAGAAAGTATAAAAGGTGTTTAATTGTATGCATTAAGTTTAAAGACATTTTAACAGTCAAAAGGTGAAACAATGCAAAATTTTTTGATATTTTTTTCCAGTCTTTGGATTAACAACATAAAGATAAAAGGAATAAAATTAAAATACTACTCTAAAAGGAGGGCTTAATTTATCATTTCAAAGAGGCCACTAAGGTAGTAGAAATTCCCAACTTGCCCCAGGGAATTAAGCCAACAAAATCTTGAAGTCTGTTAAGATTTGGAAAGATACCTGTATGGATTTATAAACTGCAAACGTGCAGAACTTTCCCAATTTGTTCTTTCCTCTTTCTTCAAGGGGATAAACATCCAAACTAATTTGATTTTTCCAGATTTGCAAATTTTATAATGGATGGAAATCCTGAGGGAGCTAACAGATGGATGATTGTGTTATTCTAATTACAGCTACCTTAGGGTTTAGCAAGCTGTCATTTTTAAAAAGACAATCAATTTCTCATTTCATGAAACATGAAAAACACTGAATATAGCTAGCATTTGCTTTGAAACATCTTTTGTATCAAGACACATTTTTTTATTTAAAGTAAATAAAGTGAAATTTTGAAATAGCAAGTCATTGTTCCATTAGCCAAAAAATTAAATGATACAGGATGATGGTATCTAAAGCCATGGGAAGAAAACGATACTACCGACAAGTGTAATATAATAATAAATATTAAACAATCAACAAGAGCCACTTTGTTTTGGACCATACTCTAAAATCCCAGGGGATAAATGTCCAACTGGAGGCTTTAAAGAATTTAAATTAACATTCAGGGTTTATCTGCTTAGATACCACATTAAAAAACAAAACAAAAAAACAACATGTGAGCTGCCCCTCAGCATAATTTAGAAGGGTAACAAAGGGCAGTGAATATGTGCACACTGTGCAATCAGGCTATTGAGTGTTTGGATAAAGCATGCAACATAATATTAATGTTACTGCAGAAAATATAATCCAACAGAACAATGTGCCAGGGAGGACTGCAGAAATTGGCGAAGATTTGCTGAAGACTGAAGAGATACCCACTTTCACCATGCAAATTTCCATGATTACCACTTCTCTTACTGATTTCTTCTTTTTCATTGAGTTGATCATTAATACCTGTTTTTTTCACATACATTTTCAGGTTCATTCATAAAGTCATAATTTTCCTCAAACACGCTTTTCTTCAAGATTGTCTTTACAATTTGTTTTCTTTACTCTGTATCTCACTTTCCTGATTTTCAGTGTAATGGTTATTATGTCTGCTTCAGAGAGTAGTTACAGCACTTATCGATACAAAGCACAAGTACCTCAGCACACTGTTTAACTCACAAGAAGCACTCAACAGATATCAACTGTCTTCACCTACCTAACTTCTGGTTAACACTACTTTGTATTTTCCTCTCATTTCTTTGTTTCATTTCTTATGTTCTCTTTTATCCCTTTCCCCAATCTACATCAGATGTCACTATGTGTAAATAATTAAGTATATATTCATATGTGTATTTGTAAATATCAATAGATTTAGAATCATTATACAAATATATTTGGGTGAATCTATATGCTTATATATGTATATTTAATTCAATAAAAACATATCAAATGCTACATTAAGGATTCTAAGAAGTGTGAGACGTAACGGAAAAAATGAAACTAATCACATACAATAAAATGAATATTAAAATGGTTAAGTGAATGCAATAGGAGCACAGAGGAGGGATTTCTGCTTAAGAGTAAGAGGGAAGGTGACATTCTAGCTGCAGCTTTACAGGTGAACTGGACATTATCATATGGGTGTCCTGGGGAGGGAAATGTTCATCCAGAAAGAACAGTAGGAGCAAAGGTTCAGTGACATGAAAACACAGAATGTGCTTGGGCTAGAAAGACAGGCTGGAGCATACAGGAAACATATATTATTTAAATTTTTTATGGGATATGACATATAGTGTCTAACTTGATTAAGCAACATATTTGAATGATGGTTTCTTTAGCAGAGAAGCCATGTCACACTTATGAGGAAAAAAATGCAGTATCCATTGATGATCTATTATCATGAGTCTATATCTAGCGCTCTGCTTTCTTTACTATCTTTCTCTGTTTACCAACTCCCAAGTACTGGATATTCACATCTGGCAAATTGCAATTCTGCACTCTACTTCATGCTTTATATAGTTACAATACAATCTCCCTAAGGTACATACGAATCAAGTAAAGCTTCCGCTCAGAAATCTTAAATGGTTTCCTCTATTGCCTGTTAAAATTAAGATAAACTGATTGACACAATATATAAAACCTCCCTCCTTCTTTTATTCATTCTTCCTTTTATTTATCCAACATATATAGACACTGCTACTCTAGGTGCAGAGGATACATACAATAGGCAAGACAATGGAAACTCCTCCTACTGGAGTTTACAGTCAATGTAAAGAATCAGCCACTAAGTCAGGATATGAGAATGATACAACAAAGGGATGCAAATTGGCCTTATACACTAAACCAATGGTTCAATAATTTGTATTTCCACCCCATACCTTCCCGCTAAATTCCACATTCAAATCTCCAGCATGTACAAAGCACGTTTAGTTAAATGTGTAGCAAGTATTCAGAAAGTAACATAAAAATGAGCTCTTAAATCTCCTTTCACAAACCTATTCCTCTTCCATTCTTCTCCACCTCAGTGTATGATAACCCCATCCTTTCAGTGGCTCAAATGAATACCTTGGTCTTCTTTGATTCCCCCCTTTCTTCCATACCCATATAAAATCTGTTATCCAATTCTGTTGGCTCTGTCTTCAAAACGTAGCTAGAATCCAAGCGCTTCTCACCATCTCTACTCACATCCTCATCCAAGCCCTTGCCATTTTTCATCTGCATCTTTTCAATAGCCTCCTCACTTGTCTCCCTGCTGTAGTCCTTAGTCCTCCTGAAGTCTGTTCTCAATACAGCACCCATAGGAATCTTTTAGAAATGTAAATCTGGGCATGTCAATCTTATGTTCAAGACCCTGCAAGAACTTTAAAATCCTCTCCTCTCTGACTTCCACATCAACAATCCCCCCTTACTTCTTTTTAGCCATACTAGTCTCCTTCCTTGCCACTTCCTGAAATTCGCTCCCCCTAAAATATCCATACATCTTGTTCCCACTTCTGCTGGTCTAAACTCTATTTAATATTGTGATCCTCACCCCTCACTAAGCACCCCCTAGCTCCATTCCTTGCTGTGTATTTCTCATTTACCACTTAATACCATTCGACATACTGAGTCTTTTACTTATTGGTTTATTGTTTCTCTTCCCAGCAGAAGGTAAACTCTATGAAGGCATGATTTTTTTCTCTCCTTTGTTCAATGCTGTGTCTGAATACTTAGATAAGTTCTATTACATAGTAGAGGACAATATCTATTTGTTAAGTAAATGACAGTGTGGGCAGTGAGGGACAGAGGGGGAAGTTGGCAGTCTTAATAGTTACGTATTCCTGAAAAATAAATATGAGGCATGGAGTGAAAGGAATGATACTAGAGAGGAAGAAAGGGGAACACCAATTTAAGGCCTTGATTATCTCGGTAAAAAGCTTAGACTTTCTGCAGTGGTCAATGGTAGCTTCTAAGGGGTACAGCAGCGGTTCTCAACCTTCCTAATCCGCGACCCCTTAATACAGTTCCTCATGTTGTGGTGACCCCCAACCATAAAATTGTTTTCGTTGCTACTCTATAACTATAATTTTGCTACTGTTATGAATTGTAATGTAAATATCTTTTTGTTTTCCCATGGTCTTAGGCGACCCCTGGGAGGGAAATGTGGACTTAGACCGTCAATCATTCCTTGGTTTCTGGCTTAGATGGACAGTAGATGACTATACTGCCCACTAAAATACACAAGGTTGGAGGGAGACTGTATATCAATAAGGCCTGATGGGGTGAGGTCACTGTTGGACATTTGGAGTTTGAGAGTTTCTGCAGCACATCCAGGTGAGGTTTACCTACTAAGCAGCTGAAAATATGAAACTAAAGCTTATCGTAGATCTGTGAGTAGAAGATGTACATTTAGAAGTCATCAATATATGAGGTACATAAAATAGTAGGAGCAGGTGAGATCACTAGGGGATAGTGGATAAAATGAGAAGAGTGGAAGACACTGGAATACATCGCCTTAAGGAAAAACAACTTTTAATGGGTAAAAAAAAGGGGGCTCAGAAAGGAGTTAGAAGTTACAAGGAAACTTCTACATACATTTGCACAGAAGAGACTGAAAGGTATCTGCAATGTACATGGCATCAAGTGAGAGATTTTGAGGATGACAAACCTTGCGCATATTTGTAATCGAATTACACATCTCTAAGAAATATTATTTGCATATTGAATACTTTTCAAAATTCAAAATGTTTAAAAGGTACCTGTGTATTCCACTGAGGGGAAGCAGCATTCCGATGGGCTTTCAGAGAGATGAAGCACAAATTTTTCAAGTAACTCTACTAAAGCTGTAATAAACAAGAGAATAATTAGAATATTAAAGGTCAAGAGTAATACATGATAACACATCTCTAAATCACAGACTAGTAGATAAAATCCATCTGAATTTTTGCAGTTACACTCTTAAGGGAGTCCAACTCAAAACACATACCATTTTAATATTCCTAACAATGTTACTGATGTAAATTAAATTTTAATAGCTTTGCTGAGAACCTACGAATGTAAACCTGGAAAACAATCATCTGTTATGTTTAGATCCTCTAAGGATTACTTCAGAATTTTCAAAATGATTTCAAACAGAAAGAAATTCATCATTAATTAGACTACAATATCTTATAATTATTCACACACACAGAAAAAAAAATACATGAAATCCAAGACCAGGATCAATGCAGAGCTCATGTCCCTTTCAATACCAGCACGTATTATGTATTTTAAATATTTTGCTCTAATGGTATCTGTTCAAGGCAATAGGATCACAAGTAAGTCTGTCAGGGGTTGAGGTGGAAGAAGGAATGAGTAGGTACACAGAGCATAGGAATTTTAGGGCAATAAAGCTCTTCAATTCACAAAAAAATCCATTAAATATAACTCAAGAAAATTAATTCATGTCACGAAACACTTCTTAACTTTAGAAACAAATTAACTCTAAGATATTAACTATCCAGAAAGTAAACTGCAGAATATTGTTTTGTCTTAAGTACTAGGACTGGCAATTAAGTTCGTGAACTTGTTGCAATAATGTTGCTAACCTTTTTATGATATCAGAGGGATTATTCATTATGAATTTGTACCAACTGGACAAATAGTTTAACCAAGTTTACTATTGGGTTGTCGGAAAAGTCATGACACATGTTTCCATCAGATGGCACTAGTTCATTTTTGGAAGTACTAGAGTCATTCGCATCTATGTAGTTCCTATGTCATTTGACAGCTGACAGTTCTACCTTCATGCTAAAAAAAAATTGAGGATTTGGTTGCGTTTTGGAGATTTTACAACAAGTTGAAGATGGAAGACCAAACTATGCATTGTTGCCATATTTTACTGTTTTACTTTTATAAAGGGAAGAACACACATCAAGCTTACGAAAAGTTGCATAAAGTTTACGGTGACAATGCTCTACAAGAATGTCGGTGCCAACAATGGTTCACGAAATTCCGTGCTGGTAATTTTCATCTCAACGATGCTCCTTGGTCAGGGAGGCCCACTGAGGTTGACGACGACAAAATAAAGGCATTGATCGAGTCAAATCCACATTACACTACATGAGAGATTACAGAAACATTGCACATCCATCATTCAAGCAATCACGACCACCTGAAGAAGCTGGGATACGTAAGCAAGCTCGATATTTGGGTTCCGCATGAACTCAAAGAAGTTCATTTGACAGTGCATATAAACATCTGCAATATGCTCATTAAACGTGAGGAAAACGATCCTTTTTTGAAGTGACTGATAACTGGTGATGAGAAGTGGATTGTTTACAACCATGTGGTGAACAAAACGGTTGTGGTCTCGACATGATGATTTGCCTCAAAGGACATCGAAAGCAGACATTCATCAGAAGAAGGTTATACTCTCAGTGTGGTGGGATTTTAAAGGTGTCCTGTTTTTCAAGCTCCTCCCACGGAACCAAATAATCAATTCGAATGTGTACTGTCAACAATTAGAAAGTTTGAATGAATCCATCATCCAGAATCACCCAGAGCTTGTTAATTGTAAAGGCGTTGCATTCCATCATGAAAACGATGAGCTGCATAATTCCTCATTCATAGAAGTCCCTGTCTTTATTTGCGAAAAACTGAACAAAGTGCTGATTTACAGCCTCATCTGAATTGAACGTTATACCACACAAAGAGTTTTGAAGAGCGCGAAACAAGTGGAAGTCTGACAGCACAAGGTCAGGCGAGTATGGTGGGTGTGGCAACACATCCCATCAAAGCTCCAATAATTTTGGATGGGTGATCAAACTTGTGTGCGGTCTCACATTATAGCGATGGAACACAACTCCTTTACAATTACAACAAGAAGCTCTGGACATTTCTGGATGATGGATTCGTTCAAACTGTCTAATTGCTGACAGTAAACATTCGAATTGATTGTTTGGCTCCTTGGTAGGAGCTTGAAAAACACGACACCTTTAAAATCCCACCACACTGAGAGCATAACCTTCCTCTGATGAATGTCTGCTTTCGATGTCATTTGAGGCAAATCATAACATCAGGACTAAGACCATTTGTTCACCACATTGTTGTAAACAATCCACTTCTCATCACCAGTTATCAATCGCTTCAAAAAAGGATCATTTTCATCATGTTTAATGAGCATATTGCAGACGTTTAAACATGCTGTCAAATGAACTTCTTTGAGTTCATGCGGAACCCAAACATCAAGCTTGCTTATGTATCCCAGCTTCTTCAGGTGGTCGTGAATGCTTGAATGATGGATGTTCAATGTTTCTGCAATCTCTCTTATCGTGTAACATTGGTTTGACTAGATCAATGCCTTTATTTTGTCATCATCAACCTCAGTGGGCCTCCCTGACAGAGGAGCCTCGTTGAGATCAAATTCACCAGCACGAAATTTCGTGAACCATCATTGGCACTGACGTTCCTGTAGAGCATTGTCACTGTAAACTTTATGCAACTTTTCACAAGCTTGATGTGCGTTTTTCCTTTTATGGAAGTAAAACAGTAAAACATGGCAACAATGCACAGTTTGGTCTTCAACCTTCAACTTGTTGTAAAATCTCCAAAATTCAACCAAATCCTCAATTTTTTTTTAGAATGGAGCTAGAACTGTCAGCTGTCCAATGACATAGCAATAACATAGATGTGAATGACTCTAGTACTTCCAAAAATGAACTAGTGCCATCTGTTGCAAACATGCATCATGACTTTTCCAAAGACCCAATATAAGCACAGTCAATTTTTCTCAATGCTCTGAAGTAGTTTATGTTCATTCTTTCCTCTGTACTTTTTAAAAACAACTTACTTTGTATCAGTATAGATTCACAGGAAGATTCAGAGATAGCACAGAAGTAGACAACTTCCTTTATCCTTCCTTTTAGGGTAGATCTGCTGATGACAAATCCTTCATCTGAGAATTTCTTGATTTTCTCACTATTTCTGAAGACTATTTTCAATATATACAGAATTCAGGTTGACAGTTCTTGCTTTCAGTACTTGAGTAATGTCATGTCACTTCCTCTGTCCTCCATCTTTTCTAGTGAGAAGTCCACTGTTATTTGTATCAGTCATCCCCTATAGGTAAGGTATTCTTCCTCCCTCTCTGCTTTCATGATTTCTTTCTTTGTCATTAGTTCTCAGAAGTAGTAATTACAGTGGGTCTTGGTATGGATTTCTTTGGGTTTACCCTGTTTGGCATTCTTCAACCCACAGGTTTAGGTCTTTTGCCAAATTTGGAAAGTTTTCAGCCATCATTTCTTCAAACTTTTAGTCCAACCCCTTTTCAGTACTCTAATGACACAAATGTTACATCTTCTGTTAGGATTCCACAGGTCTGCGGGCTCTGTTAATTTTTCAGTCTATTTCCTCTCTGCTGATATCTTCCAAGTTCTCTGATTCTTTCTGTCCCTTCCATTTTATTATTGAACCCATACATTGAGCTTTTTATTTTAGTTATGGTATTTTTCAGTTCTAAAATTTCCTTTTTGGGTTTTCTTTACTATTTCTTTGCTGACACTTTCTATTTTTTAATTTGTTTTATGTGTGAAACAAACACACATGTGGAGGAGAAAGGGAGATTGTGGCCTCATTACCAGTGTATGGTGGTGTAAGTTCTAACTCTCTACCTAAGTGTCCTCTGATACCCTCCAAGCAGGAGGAGGCAGGGGTGCCTTATTACTGCTAAGTGAGGAGGGATGTCTAGGCTTCACCCCAGTCTTGCAGGCAGGATTTTCTGTGCTGTTTAGCTGGATTAAAGCAGTCACTTTCTACAGGTTTTCTGTCTTAGTAGGATAACCTTTTCCTGGTCCTTTGGCTAGAGAGAGCAAGCTTTTACCTCCCTGACCCCTCCTTTTTATCTTCTTTATACACTCTTAATCACTCAGTATAGGATATATAAGGCAAAAAGAAAACCCAGGAAATACACCTCTGAGTGTGCCTTGGGTCCTACGATATCCATCCAGTCTGTCTCTTCTATCTTCCAGAGACATCCTATGTTTGTTTTATGTGATGTCCAGAGATTTTAGCTGTATATAGTAGGAGGGATGATAAGGGAAGGAACATCCACCCCATCTTTCAAAAGCGGAAGTCACCTTGTACTTTTTTCATGATAATTATTTTTTAAATTCTAAAGGCTGAATGTAAGTTTCATCATATAAACTAGACCTTAGTTTTTTATCCATAAAATGTAGACTATCTTATAAAGTTGCTATAAAGAGTAACAGAGATTGATGCAAGCTACTAACTAGGCCATGCTGTGCAGAGAGGTGTAGATCTATTACTGAGAGTAGCTTGCAAATCTAACAGCGGACACTGCATCAGGATAATGAATAACTGAGGCCAACATTTGTGAGAACTGGCCCCAAATTCCAAATGGAACACAGTTTTAATGGTAAAGTTCTACTTCTTTACCCTGTTTCATAGTCATGGGTAATGGTAGAACAGGTGATTTTTCTCTTTTGTCTGATCACTATTCCTGTTGAGAGGAGAAGGATCTACACGTGTACTTATTGTATTTAAACTAAACCCTGTACCAAGCTTCCACTTGCCCAATCTGCTCGCTACCTTTTGGTCTGTGCAGAATTCACTGATCATCTATTTTAAATATTCTCTAATGCAAACAATGATAAATACATATTTATTATAGATATTTTATAAATACTTTAGGGTAAAACATAGTTTAACTGCTCATTTTATATAAAAATTTGAAAATAATGTTTGATTTCTTGTCCATAGATATATCATTATTCTCTAAAATATAATTTCTCCAACAAGTAACAAAATACAAACTTATTTTTATTTCCCACTTTTAATTTTGTAACCAATGATACAAATATGAAATGCATAAAGCATGGCTGATAAAGTAGGCAACTACATTTAAATTATAGCTTTGAAGATTCTAACTTATATTTCCATTAAAACTTTTGTCTTATACCTTCTTTTTTACTCAAAATAATATTAATTAAAATGATAATTTTAGGAAATGAATGTACATTCAAATATCTGAATATAAAACAACCTATTTGCTGGTGTAAAGGGGATCAAATATATGGCAATGGAAGGACAATTAACTCTGAGTGGTGAACACATAATGCAATATATAGATGACATATTATAGAACTGTCACTTGAAACCTATTTGGTTTTGTTGACCAATAAATTTGTCACCCCAATAAATTTTAATAAAAAACAGAAAATATAGCCATTTACTCAAAACAAAATTTCCTTAGGAGTCATTAAAATATTTGGCTGGATACAGCAGAATTCCAAAATCTGTTAATAAAAAAATTCAATAAAGTTTCCAAAAATATAGCAGCATGGTATATTCAGGTGAAAGCTGAAGAAACCAAGCAAACTGTTACCTGGGCAAAAGTAAATTAGTGTTTCAGTTTGGCTTACCGAGACCTCTTAGACAGTTTTTTTGTTTATTTTTTTTGTTTTTAGCTGAGCCATCCTGCTACCTGTTGGCAGCTCAGCTGCTGCTCAGCTCAGGCTGGACTCGAACCGCTGTTGCTCAGAGCTCAAACTCTTGAGCGAGCTCTTAACCAACTGAGCCACTCGGCCAGCCCATCTCAGACAGTTTAAAAAAAAAGCTTTGCAGTTTCTCAGGTTTTAATTTCTGTTCTCCAGCATCACAAGATTCTCAGAAGTCAACGAACTGCTGGAATTATGTATTATGTGTCCTAGACATGCTGGTACTAATCTTTGGGAAATACAGCTTCTATTAGTACAAAAAAATCAGAAAAATTAAACAACGCACTCACCACCTCCACCGATTATATCAGGTTTGGCCTTCATCATTTTGCAAAATTGTCTTCGGCAGTTTTCTATCCACTCAGTTTGTTTATCAGACATCTTGAAGCGTACTAAAAGTTTGCCAAGATCATTGTCTAATAAGAGAGATAGCATGTATTATTATAAGACATGCTAGATACGTTGAAAAATAAGTATTAATGAAGTATGTAAAGTTACAAATTCTAGAAAAAATATGACTATATATGGCTTTCAAAGGAAAACATATTTTTCTGTAATTACATCTTATACCTTCAACTGCTTTTTACCGCATTTATTAAGAGCTTATAAAAATGGATTATTGATTCATTAAAAGCTCATAAAATGGATTGATTTATAACCATAATTCATAACTATTCTCTTTTTTATACAACATGATTCATTACTGAGCATGATTTAGCTTAAAATTTTGCTACACTAATGTGAACATTATACTCATTCTTCATGTACAATCAGGTACAATTTTATTCATTTCTGTAAAAGCAAAAAGAAAGCATAACTGTAGGAAATCTCTAGTCGATAATTTATTTCCTCTCCTTGAAAAAATTTATACTTAAAATATTGGTTGGTGCTGAAAAAATATAGTTAAAATATAGCTTTTCTGTCTAAGCAATTTCATGAATATATTGCAGCTTTCATCTAATTTTATTTTTCTGTTGTAATTTTAATTGTATTCACATGAGATTTTTCCACCTTCCAATTTAATTTTATTCACATAAGATTTTGTATTAGGAAACATCTATACAAAATATATTATAGAGGATTTGGTGTCATTTTAAAAAGGTTATGTAAGTATACATATGTACATATATATTATCTCACACACACATAAGAAAAAATTCGAGAGGGAGAAAAAAACAGGAAAGATGTTCTCTTATTTTCTAGAAGAGCATGGGGGAGCATAGGTAGTCAGTGATACGAATTCATACCTGCAGCACTTTACTTGAAGGAGAGTTTTGGGCAAGAAAATGAGAATAAGAACATCTTGAATATATAGGGTCAAAGACCTGACTGCTTCTGCCAAAGATGTGGTCTGGGAAAATTAACACTACAAAATACATCCACTTTTGCTACACTTTGGGCTGATGAAACCCACCAGGAAAATACCACTGGTCAATTTGATACTACAGAGGGTTTCAATCAACTCTACCTATTTCTTAAAATGAATAAAATTATAATAAAACAAGTCCTTATTCTTATAAGTTTTATAAATTAATCTTTCAACCATACAAAACCATTTTGATTTTAGTTTTCTATCCAATCTTTGTAAAATTACATTCAATAAGTATGTCTGGAGTTCTTCCTATGCAGCTATAATAATCATGACAGACAAGGTCACTTGCCCTCAGGAAACTTACACGTCTTGGAGCTTGTGTGTGTGTGTGTGTGTGTGTGTGTGTGTGTGTGTGTATGCATGTGTATATACACATACATAGATTACAATAGTCTCATCAAGATATACATGTCATTCCTGTGATCTAAATTGGTTTTATTTAGCCCTAAAAAGCAGCTATGTATCTTCACGCAATCCTCATGGTTATCATACATAAAATTATATGATTAAATTATAAATCACAATTTATGTAAATATTTCCCTATTTTACATTTAGGGCACCAAAAAAGCCTTCCCACGTCAAAGTCTTTTGTACAAACACGAGTATACAAATAAATATACCAAATATTATATATGCATGCTCACACAAATATATACATAAACAGAAAATAATTCTATTGAAAGAATGTACAATTCTGATATTTAGTACTAATCTAATATATTGTCTTTGAATACCATGGCCAGAATTATACTGTAACATTTCATATATAGCTTCAATCAGAAGGAATAACTACAGGAAAATTAAATTGATTAAATCAAAGGAGAAAATTATTCCTTTCAGTAAAAAAGTTCTCAAAACCTTTAATCTAAACTCAAGAAACTTCAGAGCTGATAATTTTGTTGAAAAGTATTAATAACAAAGTTTTAATGTTGAATGTTTCTTGATAAGAATTGGATAAAAGACTTAATTCAGCAGGATTAAAATGGAAAATGTATAGTTTCCATTTAGAATATCTACATTACTCATTTCCCAAGAACAAACATCCTAGAGCAGCGGTTCTCAACCTGTGGGTCGCAACCCCTTTGGGGGTCCAACGACCCTTTCACAGGGGTCGCCTAAGACCATCGGAAAACAAAAAGATATTTACATTATGATTCATAACAGTAGCAAAATTACAGATATAGAGTAGCAACGAAAATAATTTTATGGTTGGGGCTCACCACAACATGAGGAACTGTATTAAGGGGTCGCGGCATTAGGAAGGTTGAGACCCGCTGTCCTAGAGCCTAATAAGAATCACTACGGGCACATGACTGCAAAGACAAATGCAGCTGTCTTATCTTTCATCTTATTTTCTTCTCTATGTCATCTTTTCTATCCATGTCAAACCCTGTATTTTATAACCACTACTATCTCCTTCAAAAGAGGATGTTCACTGGCTCTTTCATAAATTACTTGCTACTTAAAAATCCTATGTTATCCTTTCCTGCCCTACACCCTTCGCTTGCTCTCTTATCTTCTTTCACATTTGCTATCCTGTTTTGCTTTTTCATCACCTCATTCTAAAGAAAAGCGCATAAGGCACCACGATTGTCAGCACTGATGCAGCAGATGTGGTCATCGAATCTCCCAGTTGGCAGAAGAGCTAAGGGCCCAGTTTATTTGGATTTGAGGCAACAAAGAACTGCTGACAAGAGTGACTACAGGGCTCCTAGAGAGAGACAACTTGGTATTCCTCATAGGCTTCTGGTTACAGTTTTCCTCAACCGTCAATGGGAGTGTGAACTTTCCAATTTGCATTCCTTGCAGTCAAACACGTTTAGTAATTGGATGTAATGTTAATTGAAAAACATGTGTATCTGTGGTATTACTGTGTTTGAGGGGACAAATTCCTTTATTTCCCACTCCAAATTTGGGGCCAAATGAAAAGTTGATACGAGCAGATAAACAGAGTTCAAATTATCAGTGTTAGTACTGAAACAAGTAAATCAGGCACCATCACCTGGATCTGCTGCCATATGGACTTATACAAATATCTCCCCTGATCTGAACAAACCTACTCAATCACAAACCAAGACAAACTACCAAAGGCCTCTCCTGACTGTTCTTCTTAGAAAATGTGAATATACCTAAAGACAGACTAACTTGAAAGTACAGCCTACAACTAGGCTAATCCAAGATTTTCCATTCCTTCTCCCAAATTCACCTACCATAAATTTTTCCTACCTAACTTTGTGTATGAACATCCAGAGAGAGGCCAATGGTGTTAGGCCAGAAAAGGTCCTGTGTATAGACAATGAGGCAAGGGGAAATGGAATCACAGAAATAGTATCATAGAAATGCAGTAACTCTAAATTAGTGATTCTGTGAGTAGAAGAAATATGAATGATACACAGAATGTCATGTTTCCCAAAATTTCTGTGTTTATAAACCACACAAAAAATTTAAAAACAGAGTTTTGCTTCTGGTCATGATAGAGAAACTGGGAATAGAATTGCCCTCCTGCTGTAAACAACTCAAAAACTGGATAAAATGTACCAAAAAACTGTTTTCAGACATTGCCTGTTAGTCAGTACAGGACTATCATATCTGAGAAAAGGGGAACTAATGAGGTGAGTCCTTGGCTTTTTGGTTTATTTTGTTTGTTTGTTTGTTTGTTTGTTTGTTTGTTTGTTTGTTTGTTGAAGTCACTTGCAAGACCACTGTGCAGAAAGGGAGATACTACAGAAGTCTTGCTGAATTGGAGAGACAGAAGTTAGGTTGCAGGGAGACTGAGGAAGCTAAGATCTGTGGATCAGAGTACTGGAGTGGAACAGCAAGCAGAGAAAGAACTTCAGCAATCTTTGTCTTTGTCAAGTTGGTTGCAAAAAAATAATCAGCTGTGCAGGCGAGGCGTGAAACTTCACAAGGCTGGGCAAAGAACAGCCCGGAACTGCACAATGAAGAATTCCCAGAATATGCACAGGGCTGAGAGAAGTCCAAATTCCAAACAGGGTGAAGGGTCCTCCTTAACTGCCAGGGTGTTCCATAGAGAAGTCAGAAGGGTCACCTCTTAGTAATACAGTTAAATTAGCCATCAATACAGGTAACTCTATACCCACCTTACCAGAAAAAATAAATAACTAAAAGTTAAAGCCTTGAAAGAACAAACTGATCCATGAGTAACTTAAATGCACATGAAAAAATGTCCATTACTCTTTAAAGAAAAGCAACAAAATGTAGCACGCAACTATGTAAAATTAATAATATCCAATATTCAATTAAAAATCACTAGCATGAGAAAAGGAAAGAATGTGACTCATGACCAGTAGATAGTAAATCAACTAATAGAAAGACTCAGAAAGGACTGAAGTGATACAATTAACTAGCAAAGACTTTAAAGCAGCTACTTTTAAGGATTAAAAAACATACAAACACAATGGAATACTATTCTGCCATAAGAAAAGATGAAATCGTGCCATTTGCAACAACACGGATGGATCTGGAGATTATTATGCCATGTTATTGCTAATAATCCATAGGAGAGACACTTTCAAGAGACCATGGGTCAGATTTTCAAATGTTTTCGGTCAAGTGACCTTAGACAGACTCTTGAGCCTATTGTAATTCTGATCAAGACGGCTGGGCATGCCCTTCAAATCACAATGCAAGATGAGTGAAAGTAAATCTTGTCTGCTTTCTGCCTTTCAACACGCCAACGGCAAACAATATTCATGGACATGGGACTCTTTCTAGTAACGCTGAAGGCAAAGGAACTGACTGGTATATAAGGAAGTGTGGTACTTCTATTTCCTTTACATATGTTTCGGCTCAATTCAAAAAGCCTATAATTAATGAAATAAAGGATTCCTCATGTTACATGCTAGACGCCATGTACCATGAATAGTGAATCAACAAATATTACTTTCAAAGCCTAGAGTTGTGTTAGCAATGCACTTTATCAAGAGGCTTTATAAAGTGTTTTAAATGCCAACCCTGACTTAGACATGAATGATATGCATAATTCTAGAATATTAATAAAAATCAACCAGCATGTCACTCAC